ATTTTTCTTAATAATAATAATAATAATAATAAGGGGTAATCACATAAAAATACCTGAACTTTTACAAAAATCCCAAATAAATACCCGAACTATAAAATTGTCATATAAATACATGAACTTTTCAAAACTCCCACATAAATACCCAGACTTTTAAATTTTGTCCAAATCAAACAAACGCAACTGCTGACTCAGCAAAAAAAACTGCCGACTCAGCAAAAAACTGCTGACTCATCATTTAAAAATATTATTAAATATCCAAAGATTCATCTACATGTATTTAAATTAATATATGCATATAAATTCACATATATATACAAATATATATATATATATATTAAAAATAAAATAATTTATAATTAATAAAACACATATACATATAACTACAATATATATATATATCATTACTAATGCATATATATTACAATAAAAATATTTATAATTAAATTTATTATTAAAAATAATAATAATACATAAAAATAATTATAATTAAATATATATATTATGTAAATATATTAGTATTTTAAAATAATAATAATGCATTATTATTTTTAATAATTAAATTTATTTTTAGTATATATATTACTAATGCACATATATTATTACTAATGCATATATATATTAAAATAAAAATAATTATAATTATATATACATAATAATGCATTATTATTATTTTAAAATACTTATTAAAAATAATAATGTATTATTATTATTTTTACTAGATGAGGACCCGCGCGCTGCGCGGGTTAAATTTTTTTTGAATTGTATCATTTGTTGACATTAATATAATAAAAACTTATAAAGATTATTTGTTACATTCATCCAAAAATATATCTATGTAATTTAATTATTGTAAATCATCATTGTATTATTTATAGAATGAATATTAAAAAATATAAAGTTGTATAAAAATATGAGTGTCGTTGTCTACACGTTATATAAGTTCGATGTAAACAATTTGTTATGAGTGTCTTAAATCTCGATTTTTTTATGCGTAACGTGCGAGTTATTTTTTATTTGATTATAAAATATTATTGATATGAATGTATTAAAAAATATTTTATATATTATGTAAGGTGAAAACCCTTAAAAATTCTTAAACTTCAAATTCGGTTGAAAACTAATGTGAAAATTTATGTTGTTGTGTCATATATGTCACATTGGAAATCTATATTTTTTTTTTCTTCCTTTGCAAACTATACCTTTATATAAATTTTTGACAAAATCCTTACTTTATTATCTAAATTCAATATTATCATTTAGTGCTCCGAAAAATATGCAGCATAAAAAAGTAATTGTTTTTTGGAAACTGTGTTATCCGGGAGAACTGTTTTTTCATCTATGAAACATGTTTTTCATCTAACACCCATTTTCGTCCGGGAGAACTATTTTTTATCCGAAAAAACTGTTTTTTAACCGGATAAAAAACAGTTCTCCCGAACAAAAAACAGATTCTCCCGGACGGAAAACATATTCAATCATTAAAGAAATGAATAAATAAAAGAATATAAATATCATTATATTATCACTATAATAATAATATTGTTTTATATATAAATCATCTCATATTTCAATATAAATTTATTTTATAAATTTACTATATATTATAAAAAAAATTCAAACATTACATAAAAAACAGTCAGAAAAAAGATATTATTAGATATATATATTGTTGTTAATTTATTGTGAATTTTGTATTATATATGTTATTGTTTTTTAGATTTATTTCGTATTATATATATATGGTGTGAAATGGAGTAATATTTATATTATTAATTTGTTTATAAACTAATTTAAAAAATTAAATATCACATTATGGTGTAGCAATATTTTTTATAAAATTTCTCATCTTAATATCTATTAAAATTGAATCATATATTTCATGCATTTGGTGGTAATAATTTAATTTAATGCAAAATGGTAATGATAATATTAGTTATCCAATTTGACTCTTTTGGCATCAAATCCAATGGTCAAGTGGACCATAAAAATATTTTAATTCTTATTCACTTCAAAATTATGATTAATGCAATGTTACAAGAGATAAAACATTCACGGCAGAGAAAGTCAATTAATACGTATATTCATATACGTATACGTATATACACATATACATATTTATATATACATATATACGATACATATTTATACAAATATATATACAAATATTTAAACATACATATATATATACATATATATATGATTTAGACAATCATATTCTACATCTTTTTATTTAATACTGTCATGTCAAAAAAAATGAAAAAGAACAAAATTTTATAGATACATAAAAATTTCTCAACTTGCAAATGGTTGAAAAACTAATTTCTTACCTTGTAGGCTAGGGAAAAATTCTTGCAAATCATGTCATTAGAATGCTTGAACTTGTAAAACAGAGCCAATTAAATGTTTGATCAACGTTGAGTGTCATTTATATTAAATATTATCCTACATGGTATTCCATATCATATTTTATGTCAAAATTAATTGCCACAACCATTCTTGAATTAAAGAAACGTTAAAAAAAATAAACGGCAAATGAAATCAGATTGCTAAAACAGTCGAGATTTAATGGTTCATTTAAAAATAAAAAACCATAAAATTCTCTCCCAAATATATAAAATCCTAATCCTTCTTCCGTATTGAACCCTAATTCCTCTTCTTAAACCTCTTTGCTTTCGTCTTCTTCGTCGACATCTCTTATTCGATTTTCCCTCTCCGTCGACTTCTTCCATTTCGTCTCTTCTTCGGTTTCTATCTCTCCTAGGATTTCATCGACTTTCGATTTCTTCGACTTCATCCCTGGGTTTGACTTGTATCTTTGTGGTCTTCGACTTCTTCAACTTCATCTCTAGATTTGACTTGTAATTCTTCGACTTCTATCTCTTTTGGATTAAAAACAAAAAATGTATGACAAATAAATTTAAACCAATATCATTTAGTGGAATTGATTTATATTTCGTAACTTAATATCACATCTCTTCTATATCTCTTATTTTTTTTTATATATTTTCTCAAGAGATGAATCATTCTTTTCTACTATTCTTTTTTTGTTTGTTTATGGGATTGAACAATATTTTTTAAAATAATTTGTTATGTTATACTTTATGGACATCATTGATTTGTTTTTCAGAGTTTGCAACACGTGGAGCGAAAAGAATGTCTGTATTTTTTAAAATTTTTATTTTTAAACTATATATTTTCAATTTCATTATTAAAGACAATGTAACAACCCAGAAAATAACTCAAGTTCGCTTGAAAAAAAATTCAAATCTTTTATATCAAATTCAAACCTATGTTGTCTAACAGATTTAAATAATCCAAAAAATTTCTAAGATAAACAGATTCAAGTTAATGAACTTTTTTGATAAATCGGTTCGTGGAATCGGTTTTATTTATCGATTTAATTTGCTTGCGTTATTTAATCCTGGGATTAACGATGTGGCAATTATTATGACGTGGAATATCATGTAGACAATATTTAACAGAAATGATGGTTAATGTTGGTGGAAATTTTAATCGGAACTGTGTTGCAAGTTTAGAGATTCTAATAAAAAACTACAAGTCGAGGAATTAGTTATCCTACCATTTTTAAGTTAAAATTTTGTTTATGGACATATATATATATATGTAATATGCATCGGCTTGACCATAAAATCTCAATTTTGGTATTTCCTCAAAGTAGCAATCTTCTTTCCAATACGTTTAATATTTAACTTATACTTTTTGTAAATTTTAGAACCTAAAACTTTTAATATCAATGAACATTCCACCAAATGACGATATATCATATCAGACAATTAATGTATAATAATTGCCACATCGTTAATCCCAGGATTAAATAACGCAAACAAATTAAATCGATAAATAAAACCGATTCCACGAACCGATTTATCAAAAAAGTTCATTAACTTGAATCTGTTTATCTTAGAAATTTTTTGGATTATTTAAATCTGTTAGACAACATAGGTTTGAATTTGATATAAAAGATTTGAATTTTTTTTCAAGCGAACTTGAGTTATTTTCTGGGTTGTTACATTGTCTTTAATAATGAAATTGAAAATATATAGTTTAAAAATAAAAATTTTAAAAAATACAGACATTCTTTTCGCTCCACGTGTTGTGTGTCACTGTCCTCCTCTTGACCGGTTTCCTTGCAACTATCTTGATGCGAGTCCTCAAGAATGATTTCATGAAGTAAGTTTAGGTATTGACTTTATTATTTCTTCGCCATTATTGATGTGACTTTTCTTTACTTACCCTTTGTTTTTTGTTTGGAAACCTACAAGGTATGCCCAAGACGAAGAAGCTGCAGATGATCAAGAGGAAACTGGATGGAAGTACATCCATGGCGACGTGTTTCGTTTCCCAAAGCACAAATCTCTGTTTGCTGCATGTCTTGGTAGCGGTACAGACAACATGGGAACCATACGACTTATGCACGTTACATTTTGTTTATGCGTAATTAATTTTTTAATGAAATTATACATTTTTTTTATATAACGTTCGGACGATTTGGTTGCATGATAACACACCCACGCACCTTTTTTTAAAAAAAAAAATTTATTCTCTCTATATTTTCCCTAAAAAAAATATTTCCCTTTTGTTTTCTTTAAAAGGAAACAATGTGTATGAATACATAGATAATGTTAATGAAACAAGAAAAAAAAATTACCAACAGATATTTTTATCTGCTAGACAACAAATCTCCCAAACACCATCTATGGAAAGACGACAATTGGAACCCCCTTACAAGATATTTTTTAATTTAAAAAAAAATTCTATCCATGAAGTTTTGTAGATAAGGGTCAATATTTTTTCCATAATGACAAATTATAGACCGTTTTAAAATTTCACATCCATAACGTTTTAAAAATGTTTCAACACATTTTCTTTTGTTCTAATTTGAATTATATAAACGTAGTGATTTAAAACGAAATCGAGGGAAAAAAATGAAAATGAAAATGAAAAATGTGATTTGGATATAAATATAACAATTCATCGCCGAGTCATGATGGCCATTTTCGTTCCTCCGAAATAAAATCGAAGTCCAGATCTCACGATTTCCCCCCATCTCCTCCTCTTAGGAACGGGAGAAAAAACGCCATGAGAGCACCGACGGTGCTGCTTCTCTTCATCGGAGCTCTTCTCTTCTCCGGCGTCTACCATGTCAGATCCGACGCCTCCGACCACCGTTACAAGGAAGCTGACTCCGTTCCTCTCTACGCCAACAAGGTCGGACCCTTTCACAATCCCAGGTAACCATCCCTATCAGCTCTTCATCCGGACTTAGATCTGAGATTTTCTCGGCTTCCAAACGGAGGTTTGAGGTGTTGATCGTCTGCTGCGCATGCGATTGTTGTGAACTGCTTTTTAAAATGAATCGGTCGCTAGCGCGATCTCGAAATTCGAGAACGGTGTGAAATGCGTAATGCAATTCCAGGGAATGAGAAGAAGAACTAGTTTTTGGAATGTTGTCGGCAGTGATGGGGACGTATCTTTGTGTTCGTTCGTGCGCCTTTCAATTTAGGTTTGATATCGTGATTACTGATTGTGCGTTTTCTTCGACGGTGATTGCAGTGAAACATATCGATATTTCGATCTGCCCTTTTGTGTTCCAGGTACGGTTACGTCTCACTAGCGAAATTTGTTTATTGTTTTCTTTCTATCTAGCATTACGTTGATTTCAAGGCAGCAAGATGTATATGTCTTGACTGATTGAGTTACTGCTACAAGTGAGAAAGAACAGTACTAGGGGGAGTGTAAAGGAAAAACTAAACCCATCTCATATTCATGAATTCCAATTCATCACTCAGTTTAGGACCAAATGAGACTAGAAATATAAAATTTGGAAAGTTTGCAGTCTAGATGGATACTTGATTCAAATTTTCAAGTACAGTGTTTTAGATCATGGACTGTGATCCATTTCATTTGCTGATCTCGCTTTGGTTCAATGGCTAAGTGGTTGTCTTCTTCTTCTTTTTTTTTGGAGAAATAATAGATGGTAGATCTGTATCCAGCAGAGAGTGCCGACGTGAAGCTTTATATACTAATAGAGATATCTGTGAATGAATTTACGCGTTACAATTCCTAGACGCGTGGATGGCCTATATATATATATATATTGTATATTGTATATTCACGTATAGTAGCGTTGTGGAATTGTTCTTTCTTCATGTATCCAGGAAAAAAAAAAAAAATTCAAGGGTTTTAATCCCTTTTGTTTACTGTACGGAGTTTGAAATGGTCGCATTCTTTCTTTCTTCGGCTTCAAGGGGGGAAACGCGGTTTTGTTTACGAGCGACACAGTCACTGTCCCTTTCTCCCTTTGTTACAATACATCTCTTCTTTATTCAACTCTTTCTTTTTGTTGCAATTATATAAATGTATAATATATGGAGTATCACAAAAAAAAAACGAAACTTTTTAAATTTTACAAATACATATATATTACCTTTTAATTTTGTAAAAAAAATATACACATTTTACGATTTTTGGCAAAAGCCCGCGTAAAAAAACACAAGGACTTTTAGTTTGTATATTTGTGAAATTTAAAAAATTCAGGTGTGTATATATACAAGGTACAGGCTTTCTGCTACCATTGGGCTTAAAACTAGATCACGTTCGTTCCGTTTTCTTTATATTGGGCCTATCTCAAGGTTGCATCTGTCTTCATTTGTGGCCCAATTCCATTTTATTATTTTATATATTGTTATCATTTCGGTTTTCATTTAGTAATAAGCTATAAAAACTATCATTAAAAAGCATTACATGTAACTATGTAATTTATTTATATAGAAATTATTTACATTAAATTATATAATTGTATATTTTGGTAAGTATCTATGTAATGCTATGATTCTTATTGTGTTGTTGAGACAACATGGAAACCATACGACTTATGCACGTTACATTTTGTTTATGCGTAATTAATTTTTTAATGAAATTATACATTTTTTTTATATAACGTTCGGACGATTTGGTTGCATGATAACACACCCACGCACCTTTTTTTAAAAAAAAAAATTTATTCTCTCTATATTTTCCCTAAAAAAAATATTTCCCTTTTGTTTTCTTTAAAAGGAAACAATGTGTATGAATACATAGATAATGTTAATGAAACAAGAAAAAAAAATTACCAACAGATATTTTTATCTGCTAGACAACAAATCTCCCAAACACCATCTATGGAAAGACGACAATTGGAACCCCCTTACAAGATATTTTTTAATTTAAAAAAAAATTCTATCCATGAAGTTTTGTAGATAAGGGTCAATATTTTTTCCATAATGACAAATTATAGACCGTTTTAAAATTTCACATCCATAACGTTTTAAAAATGTTTCAACACATTTTCTTTTGTTCTAATTTGAATTATATAAACGTAGTGATTTAAAACGAAATCGAGGGAAAAAAATGAAAATGAAAATGAAAAATGTGATTTGGATATAAATATAACAATTCATCGCCGAGTCATGATGGCCATTTTCGTTCCTCCGAAATAAAATCGAAGTCCAGATCTCACGATTTCCCCCCATCTCCTCCTCTTAGGAACGGGAGAAAAAACGCCATGAGAGCACCGACGGTGCTGCTTCTCTTCATCGGAGCTCTTCTCTTCTCCGGCGTCTACCATGTCAGATCCGACGCCTCCGACCACCGTTACAAGGAAGCTGACTCCGTTCCTCTCTACGCCAACAAGGTCGGACCCTTTCACAATCCCAGGTAACCATCCCTATCAGCTCTTCATCCGGACTTAGATCTGAGATTTTCTCGGCTTCCAAACGGAGGTTTGAGGTGTTGATCGTCTGCTGCGCATGCGATTGTTGTGAACTGCTTTTTAAAATGAATCGGTCGCTAGCGCGATCTCGAAATTCGAGAACGGTGTGAAATGCGTAATGCAATTCCAGGGAATGAGAAGAAGAACTAGTTTTTGGAATGTTGTCGGCAGTGATGGGGACGTATCTTTGTGTTCGTTCGTGCGCCTTTCAATTTAGGTTTGATATCGTGATTACTGATTGTGCGTTTTCTTCGACGGTGATTGCAGTGAAACATATCGATATTTCGATCTGCCCTTTTGTGTTCCAGGTACGGTTACGTCTCACTAGCGAAATTTGTTTATTGTTTTCTTTCTATCTAGCATTACGTTGATTTCAAGGCAGCAAGATGTATATGTCTTGACTGATTGAGTTACTGCTACAAGTGAGAAAGAACAGTACTAGGGGGAGTGTAAAGGAAAAACTAAACCCATCTCATATTCATGAATTCCAATTCATCACTCAGTTTAGGACCAAATGAGACTAGAAATATAAAATTTGGAAAGTTTGCAGTCTAGATGGATACTTGATTCAAATTTTCAAGTACAGTGTTTTAGATCATGGACTGTGATCCATTTCATTTGCTGATCTGATTGGATGTGATTCACAGATGGTGTGAAGGAGAAGAAGGAAGCCCTTGGTGAGGTTTTGAATGGGGATCGACTCGTTAGTGCTCCATACAAACTCAACTTCAGAGAGGAAAAAGACTCTGAGGTGTACTGCAAAAAGAAGCTTAGCAAAGATGAGGTCAAACAGTTTAGGAGGGCTGTTGAGAAAGATTTCTATTTCCAAATGTATTACGATGATTTGCCTATCTGGGGTTTCATAGGAAAGGTGGACAAGGAGCGAAAGTCTGATCCGAGTGAGTTCAAGTACTTCCTGTACAAACATATCCAATTTGAGATTCTCTACAACAAGGACCATGTGATTGAAATCAGTGCCAGAATGGATCCTCATTCCCTTGTGGACTTAACTGAGGACAAGGAAGTTGATGCAGAGTTTATGTACACTGTTAAGTGGAAGGAAACCGAGATTCCATTTGAGAAAAGAATGGAGAAGTACTCCATGTCTTCATCTCTGCCACATCACTTGGAAATTCATTGGTTCTCCATTATAAACTCCTGTGTCACTGTCCTCCTCTTGACCGGTTTCCTTGCAACTATCTTGATGCGAGTCCTCAAGAATGATTTCATGAAGTAAGTTTAGGTATTGACTTTATTATTTCTTCGCCATTATTGATGTGACTTTTCTTTACTTACCCTTTGTTTTTTGTTTGGAAACCTACAAGGTATGCCCAAGACGAAGAAGCTGCAGATGATCAAGAGGAAACTGGATGGAAGTACATCCATGGCGACGTGTTTCGTTTCCCAAAGCACAAATCTCTGTTTGCTGCATGTCTTGGTAGCGGTACTCAATTGTTTACTCTGTAAGTTCCTTGATCGAAGATTGCATTTCATCATTCAAGACATCTGTGTATGTCTTATCCTGATTATATTATCGGTACTTTTCCTCGATGGTACCAGCACTGTCTTCATTTTCATGCTTGCTCTGGTTGGAGTGTTCTATCCATACAACCGTGGAGCACTCTTCACTGCTCTGGTCGTCATCTATGCTCTGACATCCGGAATCGCTGGCTACACAGCAGCGTCTTTCTATGGTCAACTCGAAGGAAAGAACTGGGTAAGGCCTTGTAACGTTTTTAACACAACTGGAGACGATAAAACATTTACATAGATATATATTTCTGACATTCCTTTTGATCAGGTGAGGAATTTATTGCTGACCGGATGCCTCTTCTGCGGCCCTCTCTTCCTGACCTTCTGCTTCCTCAACACAGTCGCCATCGCTTACAACGCTACGGCAGCATTGCCCTTTGGAACCATCATGGTGATCGTCCTCATATGGACACTTGTCACATCGCCGTTGCTCGTGTTGGGCGGAATTGCCGGTAAAAACAGCAAAGCCGAGTTCCAAGCGCCATGCCGAACCACAAAGTACCCGAGGGAGATACCGCCATTGCCGTGGTACAGAAGCGCAATTCCTCAGATGGCGATGGCTGGTTTCTTACCATTCAGCGCCATCTACATAGAGCTGTACTACATATTCGCCAGCGTGTGGGGCCACAGGATCTACACCATTTACAGCATCCTCTTCATCGTCTTCATCATTCTTCTCATCGTCACTGCTTTCATAACGGTGGCTCTCACCTACTTCCAGCTCGCAGCCGAAGACCACGAGTGGTGGTGGAGGTAAATAATACATTTATCCAGTATTTTTAAATAATGATGATCGAATTTCGTTGGATTATAACAATAATGAAATGGGGGGTGGGGGGCAGGTCATTCCTGTGTGGAGGATCGACGGGGATGTTTATATACGGGTATTGCGTGTACTATTACTACGGGAGATCGGACATGACGGGATTCATGCAAACGTCGTTCTTCTTCGGGTACATGGCCTGCATCTGCTACGGCTTCTTCCTCATGCTCGGGTCCATCGGCTTCCGCTCGTCCCTTCTCTTCGTCCGCCACATCTACAAGTCCATCAAATGCGAGTAATTCCCTTTCCCCTCTCTCCCCGTATTTTTGCGATTTTTGTTAGGAGGAGATGAAAAGGAAAAAGAGTACATCATATCATATCATGTGACATGTTATTCGATACAAAAGGACAATGGTCTGGTTTTCGAAGCACATATCTTTGTCTCCTCTCTTTAGGTGTTTCTCACTCGTTGTCTTTAAAATTTTGTGCCTTTTTTTAGGAGAGTTTTTTTTTAATGGTGAATTACTTGTACCTTTTCTTTTCTATTTTAAAGCATGATACCCGAACCATTTCTTTTATGTTTTTCTTTTCTGTATCTAATAAATGTCATCCATGTTGGGCTGATAACAAAGATGAAAAAGAGATTTAATTCTAACTATAGTTTATTTAAAAGCATTACTGGTTACCAAACAACATGTCTGATACCAAAATGAAAAGAAAAAATACATCTTTGTAGTGAAAAAAATTTCGAATTTCTACGAACAGATTGTATATTTTTAATATCTGATTTTTTTAAAAATAAAAAATCAGTTTAAAGCCACCAGTCCAAAAAAGATTGGTAGGTTGAAATGGAAATTGCTCCATTTAAAATTTATGATTCCAAAAATGAATAGGATCCAACCCAATGAAGGCGACACTTGAATCGGGTGGGATCAACCCGTTTGTCGTCTCTTGTTTACAACACATTAATGCATAATCCAAGTTTATGGATTTGGATTACATATGCATGTTAGGCTTAACCATGGTAGGAGGATAGGGCCTTAACCCCATCCGGATATATTCCCTGACCTGGTGTCTGATCTGATGCAGTAGTAACGGGCCCTTGATCCAAGTTTCTTTTATGGACAAGTAATAATAACAAGGGAATATCCCAAAACAATACCTTTAACTTTTCAATTTTTATAAAATAAAATCTAAATTTTGTTTTTTTATAAAATAAAACTCTAACTTCATTTTTCAATCACAAATAAATCCAAACTTTATAATCTTTCTCATTTTTAACTCTATTATTGACGTGGTGTTTTGACATTCTATGTGGCAAGTCAACATTTTGACTGTATTTGACACATCATCATTCACGTCTCACGATATCGGAATATCATGTAAACAATAGGGTTGAAAATGACAAAGATTATAAAGTTCGGATTTATTTGTGATTGAAAAATAAAGTTGATGTTTTATTTGATAAAAAATAAAGTTTAAATTTTATTTTGTGAAAATTGAAAAATTCAAATATTGTTTTGAGATTTTTCTTAATAATAATAATAATAATAATAAGGGATAATCACATAAAAATACCCGAACTTTTACAAAAATCCCAAATAAATATCCGAACTATAAAATTGTCATATAAATACATGAACTTTTCAAAACTCCCACATAAATACTCAGACTTTTAAATTTTGTCCAAATCAAACAAACGCAACTGCTGACTCAGCAAAAAA